CTTAGCAAAAGAAACAAAGCAGGAGGTATCACACTTCCAGACTTCAAATTTTACTATAAGGCTACAGTAATCAAAACAGCCTGGTATTGGTATAAGAACGGAACAGGATGGATTCCGGAAGCAAAGTCTCAGTTCCTCAATCAACTCATCTTTGACAAAGCCTCCAGCAACAACCACTGGGGAGAGGAGAACCTATTCAGTAAATGGTGCTGGGAAAACTGGCTGACCACATGCAGAAGATTGAAACAGGACCCCTACCTATCACCATACACAAAAATTAACTCTAAATAGATCAAAGACCTAAATGTAAAACCTCAAACTATTAGAATCTTAGAAAATGCAAGAGACACCCTTATGGAAATTGGAACTGGCAATCAATTCCTGATCAGAACCCTAAATGCCCAAACCTTAAGAAATAAGATAGACAAGTGGGACTGCATCAAACTGATGAGCTTCTGCAAAGCAAAAGAAACCATCAAGGGAGCAGGGAGACAGCCCACAGAATGGGAAAAAATATTTGCCAACTGTATATCTGACAAAGGCTTAACATCTAGGATCTACAAGGAACTCAAACATGCGCCGAAAGGAAAAAAACAAACAGCCCCATTAAAAACTGGGCAAAAGACATGAATAGACACTTCTCAAAAGAAGAGATACAGGCAGCTAACAGACACATGAAAAAGTGCTCAGCCTCATTCATCATCAGAGAAATGCAAATCAAAACCATATTGAGATAACACCTAACCCCAGTAAGAATGGCCATTATTAATAAAACAAACAACAGATGCTGGCAAGGATGAGGAGAAAAAGGAATGCTTCTACATCGCTGGTAGGATTGCAAACTAGTGCAAACTCTTTGGAAGACAGTGTGGCAATTTCTGAAAGAACTAGAAATTGACCTTCCACATGACTCAGTGATTCCCCTATTGAGAATATACCCGGAGGAACTCAAATCATTCTACAAAAAAGATACCTGCACACTTACGTTTGTTGCAGCTCTATTCATGATAGCAAAAACATGGAACCTACCATGCTGCCCATAGAAGCTGGACTGGATAAGAAAAAAAATGTGGTACATATACACAATGGAATATTATACAGCCATAAAGAAGGACAAACATATGGACATTGCAGCAACTTGCATGGATTTAGAGTCGATCATACTCAGTGATCATACTCACAGAAACGAAGAACAGAGTACCATATGTTTTCACTCATAAACAGACCTTGAACAATTATTATAATACTATAAGAAAGGGATTGGCAAACTGGAAATCCCTAGTGGGAAACTGTCGAGGGGGCAGGCGGGTGGGATTGGCAGTTGAGGGAAACTGCTAGGGGAGGGAGGGGCATACCTTATCAACAGGGGTACCTGCATAATCAACGTCTGTATAACTAACCCTGAATTGTACCTCACATCTTTATAATAATAAAAAAAAAAGAACTAGCTGGGCATGGTGGCACATGCCTGTAGTCCCAGCTACTCGGGAGGCTGAGGAGAATCACTTGAGCCCAGGAGTTTGAGGATGCAGTGAGCCATGATTGTGCCACTGCACTCCAGCCTGGGCATCACAGCAAGACACCACCACAGAAAATAAAATAAAACAACATAAAGGAAAGTTAAAAGCACAAATGTGACTTGAATTATATTGCTCTTGGACCAAGATGCTCAAAAACAGGGGGTGGCAATCTATGGAGAATAGGCAAAGGCAAGCCTGTTTCTGCACAGCTGGAGAGCTGGGGTAGTTTTCACTTTTTTTTTCTTTTTGAGTCGAAGTCTCACTTTGTTGCCCAGGCTGGAGCACAGTGGCACGCTCACGGGCACAGTAGCCTTGACCTGCTGGACTCAGGTGATTTTTCTGCCTCCGCCTTCCAAGTAGCTGGAACTATAGGTATACGCCAACACACCCAGCTAATTTTTCTTGATTTATTGTAGAGACGAAGTCTCGCCAAGTTGCTCAGACTGATCTTGAACCCCTAAGCTCAGGCAATCTTCTCATCTTGGCCTCCCAAAGTGCTGGGATTATAGGCGTGAGTCACTGCACCCGGAGGTTTTCACATTTTTATTTTATTTTTTTGAGTCAGAGTCTTACTGTTTTGCCCAGGCTGGAGTGCAGTGGCATGCTCACAGCCACTGCAGCCTTGACCTGCTGGGCTCAGGTGATCTTTCTGCCTCAGCCTTCCAAGTAGCTAGAACTACAGGCATGTGCCACTATGCCTGGCTAATTTTTTTTTTTTTAAATTATAGAGACGAGGTCTTGCCATGTAGCCCAGGCTGGTCTCGAACCCATGGGCACAGGCAGTCCTCTTGCTTCTGACTCCCAAACTGCTGTGATTACAGGCATGAGTCACCACACCCGGCTGGTTTTCACATTTTCAAATGGCTGGAAAAAGATAAAAGAATGTGTGACATACGAAAATTAATAAAATTCAAATTTCAGTTTTCATAGAGTTTTGTGGAAAAAGAGGACTTACCACCATTGCCTCTCCACAAAGACTTCTACTTTTTTCTTTTGCTTAGCAAATTATTGCCAGCACCTAGGACAGGGCTCTCGCTTTTACTCTTTCGCCCAGGCATGACTACCACAGTCCCAACTTGCTGGGCTCAGATGGTGCTTTCCATCTCAGCCCTCTGAGTAGCCGGAACCACCACTGCGTACCACCATGACTGGCTAATTTGCTTATTTATTTACTGTCAAGAATCAGCCAAGTTGCCCAGGCTGGGTCTGAATTCCTGGGCTCAGGCAATCCTCTTGCCTCGGCCTCCCAAAGTACTGGGATTACAGGTGTGAGCCACCACGCTTGGCTATGTTTTAAAAATCCAGGTGTTGGGGGGTGTGTAGGAATAACATTACCCAGAGAACATTAATTACCTACTATTACAACCTGCTGTCTCCATTCCTAAGCCAGAAGAGCTAAGGTTAATTGAGACCCCAAGCAAGCCCACACACAGCGACACGGGTACAGAATGCCGATGCTGGGCCTGGTAACCCGCTAAGCTTGTAGACAGACACAGCACAGCTGCGATGACAAGCGGAGCATGGGCTTTATAAACAAAATACCTCACTTTATTGTAATTAACTCCGTGATTTTCAAACACTCCCCCGACCCCTTTACAGGGGAGAGGTAAAGCTGTCCCAGTTATCAAAAAATTCAAATCTCTTTTTCTTCGGTGAACTGGCTGTCGGTGTGCTTTCCTCCAGGGTGCCGCCCATGTCCTGGGAACCACTTCCTGGGTCAAAGGACTCTCCTGCCTCCAGCAGCTCCAGGTCCCTTCCATCCTCCTCAAAGGACTTCTGGAACAGGTCATAGATCTTCTGCTGCTTTGGGTCCTTCGTCAGAGACAGAAAAGAAAAGATGGAAGGAAGAACCCAGGCTCCAACCCTGATTCTCCTCCCCTGCAGACACAACCGCGAGAGTGCACAGTTCACCTCATCAGGGAGACGGTGGCGAGTGTGGATGTCTCAGCAAACAGATTTACCTATTGACATAGAAATGTTCTAGTTCTGTTTTTTTAATCTATCTAACTGGCATCTAATAAAAATAAAAACATATTTATCTATTTAAATAGAGACAAACTATTTAACCATTTGAAGCAGACACACTGCTTTCGTGTCTGAGGTCTTATCTCCTCTGCAGGCCACTGGCTTAAGAAATAAAAAGAAATAGCTGTGGGAGCAATGAAGCAGCAGATGCTCTCCCACTAGAATTTTTATTTTTGAGTCAGAGTCCCACTCTGTTGTCCAGGCTGGAGTGCAGTGGCACACTCACTACTGCCACTGCAGCCTCAACCTGCTGGGCTCAGGGGATCCTTCTGCCTCAGTCTTCCAAGGAGCTGGAACCACAGGAATGTGCCACCACGCCCAGCTAATTTTTTGATGTATTGCAGAGACGAGGTCTCGCCAAGTTGCCCAGGCTGGTCTCAAACTCCTAGACTTGGGCAATCCTCTTGCTTCTGCCTCCCTAAGTTACTAGGATTACAGGCGTGAGCCACCATGCTGGGCTTCATCTCTCAACTCATGCCTACACCCCCAAGCTAGCCTGTCTTCCCAGGGAACCTGTTTTTGATAATCTACCAACATTCTCCTAGTCTCACTGCTTGAGCCACCAAAGCATCCTCGTCCTTAGTTTCTGCAGGTTTCTCATCAGTTCCTCCTCCTCTCCTTCCAGGCCCTCTCTTTACTTGGGAGGCCTCACTTGGTACCTGCAAGGATTTGCAATAGCTCAACTGCACTTCTGCCTCAGGCTTCTTCCCATTTCAATCAGCCCACAGATCTCAGCCAGATGGTTTCTTCCCCTCAGGATATGCTTTAACAAGATTTTTATTTTTTTTTTTATCGTGGTTCCCCTGTGTCTACCTCATCAAATCTAAAGTTACCTCCCTGGCTTTTCAAACCTTTAGGACGCAGTCTAACTGGTCACTATTTTTCCTTACCATTCCTTGACAGAATTCCTCTCCACTGGCGAAGTTCCTTGAAAATGGATCATAGAGCCGGGCCTATAATCCCGCGCCTTTGGGAGGCTGAGGTGAGTGGATTGCCTGAGCCCGCAGGTTCAAGACCCGCCTGGGCAGCGAGACCTCATCTCTACAATAAATCAAAAAATCAGCCGGGTGTGGTAGCACATGCCTGTAATTCCGGCTACTCAGAAGGCTGAGGTGGAAGGATCGCCAGAGCCCAGCAGGCGAGGCTGCGGTGGCCGGGAGTGGCCACTGCACTTCAGTCTGGGCGACCGAGTGAGACGCCAACTCAAAAAAAAAAGAAAGAAAATGGATCATAGGAGTGTATCACGTAAGAAGTCCAGATTATTCAACTAACCTACAGCCCACATCTCCAGGCCTTTCTGAATCCTAGCCTTATGAAGCAGAAACCGATATTAAAGACCAACAAAGTCGATCCCAAATGATCCATATCCCTCTTCTAGGGTGCACCCATCAGCTTCTTTCTGAACAGCTGCAAAGTCGGGGCATGCCGTAAGGCAGCCTGCTCCAAGGAGAAACAGTTATGGATATGATTACGATGATGGCAACACTATATGCTGACTTGGAGCATGCATAATTAATTGGAAGCCGTTCCAAGATCAGATTACTATTTCATTTCCCCTTGCAGAAGGAAGGTGTGACCTCTTCTGCTTTTGCCTCCCACATGGGAAGCAACATTTTCTTTTCCTAGTAACTGATAACATTTTCAGCCCTATCTTAATAAAAAATAAACTGATATAGTTATTAATCAAAATAATGATAAAATTTCATTCATATCATCTTGCACTTGTAGTCTATGTAGAAATTTTTAACTAATTCAGAGTAAATGAGGAAAAGGCAAGATGAATAACTGAGTCCAAGTGAGAATCCTTCGAAAGTAAAGCTCTTTCTTTACAAAGGGCATGGAATAATTTAGGCTCTGTTAACATATCTACCACTCAACTGGATTGGAGCGTTCTTTAAAAGAAGGTTGTTTTAAGATTGGCTTATTAACTATTTATGTCTGGAAGGATAATTTAAAGTCTACATTTAAAAATATGACCGGGAAGTCTTATTTATCCCGACAATCACATGAAAAAGAAAGGATTTACATGCTAAATCAATGCAAACTGAATGATCAAATCCGCAGACTGTTAAGTTTTAGTGTCAGCTACAGATTTTGCTGATTTAATTCAACTTCCAAAGCTCAGCAGCTGCACGGGCAGGAGAAGGTGCCTGGGTTTCCTGCTGAGCCACCGTGAGGCCACCTTTCCGCACAGGGCTCTGACCTTGCCCAAACTCCCCTGTCAGAAACAGTTCAGCCATGAGCCACGCTTGAGGAGGCAGACCCCCGAGTTTTCACTGTCCGTGCCCACCACCTGAGCTGGTGAAGGAGGACGAGCCCTCAGAGGCCTGGAAGGCTCTCACTCCTCCATTGTGTTTCAATGAAGTGGAGGTGGAACAAGAGGCCGCCACAGCAAGTGAGCCGGAGCGCTCAGGCTAGGGCAGGCGTGGTGGACCCAGGGCTGACCTTTCCAGAGGCAACGAGCCTTCCTCCTAGCACCTTCGATAAGGTCCTTCTAGTCATGAGGGATAGCCCTTCTAGTCATGAGGGATATTCGGCCATCTCTCAACGCTCTTTATAAAGAGAGGCCGATGGCACAGGAGGAAGGTTTCACTTCTCCCTTGGGCTGGCTTCACATGCTTTGTGACTGTGCAAGTCTTATTGCTCTGCCAGGTCTCAGTTTACCCCTCCAGAAAATGGGGAGACACTAAGAGTAAAGCAAAATGACGGAGGGGAAAAGATGTTATCTAAAACCAATACCCTATTTTAAACACTCCCTATTCTGTGCCAGGAACATGTTCCTGTGTAGCCCTGCTGTGTGGTGTTGTTATGGACTTTCTGAAACACTTCAGCGGTTGCCACGGGGAGTTCTCTGTCAGCTTCTAAGAGCCTAATGGGAGGTAGCACTCGAAGTCTATGAGGGAATGGCAGAGGCCCAGGAGTTGATGCCGACACTCCCCATAAAGGGATGCACACAAGGATTGAGCTGGGAAGGACTGCAGGCCACTGTGTTCAGCTCCGGGGCTGGGGAGATCCCAGGAGTGATCACACCCTCCCACTTGGGCCTCCCTCTGCTCCACGGGCAAGGAGCCATGTGTCGGCCTTACCTTGCAGAGGTAATCAGTGGCTTCTGTCATTTCTGAGAAATTGGTCTCAGAAAGCCCAGCTTCCCCCAGAACTTTAATCTTCTCTTGAATCAGGGGCCTGTGGGGGAGAAATGAGCCACGGTGAGCACAGCCTGCATTGACCAGCAGATGGACAGGATGAGGCCACCCTCCTTGTTCTGATGGGATTGTGACTTGGTCTTTGTTTCACATCTTTGCATTTCCCATGGCTCAACCATCCATCCTGAAATATTTGCCCCTGTCAACTGTAAAACAACTACCAATTTAGGTCTAAAAATACCATCAGGTTTAAAATTCGTTCTAAAGGAAGATGTGTAGGAAATAAATGCTGCCTCATTACAACAAAATTTTGAATCTGGTGATGCTATGAACTGCCCAATTAATATATCCACTAAACAGGCCAGGTCTAGTGACTTATGCCTATAATTCCAGCACTTCAGGAGGCCAAGGTAAGAGAATCACTTGAGGCCAGGAGTTTGAGATCCATCTGGGAAACATAGTAAAACCTCCACCTGTAGAAAAATAAAAAATTAGCTGGGTGTGGTGACATACACCTGTAGTCCTAGCTACTTGGGAGGCTGAGGCGAGACAATTGCTTGAGCCCAGAAGTTCAAGGCTGCAATGAGCTATGACTGCACCACTGCACTCCTGCCTGGGAGCCAGAGCAAGACCCTGTCTCAAAAAAACAAACAAAAACCTCAATCCACTAAAAATACAGAGGGAAGTAGGGGTGACCCAAACATGTTACAAAGATAAGACTCAGTCATAAGGCTGGAAACAGAGACAAGCAGGAGGAACTCAGGAGATGATCAAAAGTTTAATAGCAGGAAATGGGACCAGGAAGAAGCATTTTGGGAATTTCTGTTTAGGTCATAGACACAAGCCCTCCTGCCCTGCTAATGCAATACGGCATGGTTCAGGGTAAGCCACTTTCTCCCTGTGGTTCCATAGCAGCAGTGTAAGAAGTGTCTACCGCTGGGCTTGGTGGCCCAGCCTGTAATCCCGCGCCTTTGGGAGGCTGAGGTGAATGGATTGCCTGAGCCCGTGGGTTTGAGACCCGCCTCGGCAGGTGAGACCTCATCTCTACAATAAAACAAAAAAAAAATTAGCCGGGTGTGGTAGCGCGAGCCTGTAGTTCCAGTTACTTGGGAGGCTGAGGCTGAAGGATCGCCGGAGCCTAGCAGGTTGAGGCTGCGGTGGCCGGGAGCGGCCACTGCTCTCCAGTCTGGGCGACAGTGAGACTCCAACTCAAAAAAAAAAAAAAAGAAAGTCCAAGATGGCCCCTCCCCTATAGGGCCCAGCACCCTTGGTCCATCCAACCCAGCCTTGCATACCAGCTACCGAGATAATGTGGGCAATGGTTCAATCCAAGGGGCCTCCCTGGAGCCCTGTCCACCATTCTCACCAGGGTAGAACCCTCCTTGCTGATGATCTCTTTGCCGCCTACTTTGGACCTGGGTCTCCTTCCCGGCGGTTCCGAGCAGCCTTAGGCGAGGTGTCTCGTGCCAATGCAGCCCAGGACTTTCTGCCGACTTCCAAGAACAACCCTGACCTGCACTTTGATGCCGAGCGACTGGGCCAGGGACGCACACAACTGGTGGGAGCTCTGCGGGAAACTCTGGTGGCAGCCAGAGCCCTTGACCACACTCTGGCCCGCCAGCGCCTTGGGGCTGCACTTCATGCCCTGCAGGTGAGAACAGAGCTGGAGTAATGGTCAAAGGGAACGGTGTTCCGGTCCAGGACCGAGAGCTTCCTTAGGGTACCTTTTTATTTATGTATTTTTTTGTCAGAGACTCACTCTATTGCCCAGGTTTGAATACAATGGCACACACATGGCTACCACAGCCTCCACCTGCTAGGCTCAAGCAATTCTTCCACCTCAGCCTCCCAAGTAGCTGGGACTGCAGGCCTGCACCACCCCACCTGGCTAATTTTTAAATTTATTGTAGAGATGAGGTCTCACCATGTTGCCCAGGCTGGTCTCGAACTCTTGGGCTCAGGCAATCCTCTCACCTCTGCCTCCCAGAGTGCTGGGATTACAGGCATGAACCACCATGCTAGACTCCTTAAGATACCTTTTGAATCACGCCTCCCCTGCTCTGGAAGGAATGGGGCATTGCTTGCCAGTGCCCTCAGGTTGTCCTAGTTCCCCATCTCCAAACTGATAGCACCTCCTGTGGGAACAGCACTGTGGCTAGAAAGAAGTGAGGGTGACGGGGAAGACGTTGAAGTCAGAGAGGTAAGGGTAGTGGACATTGTGCAGGGCTCTGCAGGCCATTGAGAGGCCCTGGTTAGATGGGAAGAGGCACTGGGATGGTTCTTACTTGGGCAAAGCTCTGCTCTGGGCAATGGAGAAAGGGCAGTGATGGGATCTTGGGGTGTCTGGCAGGAGACTTTCTGGGTGGGGCACTCAAAGGACTGGCACGTTAGGGCTGGAGCTGGTAAGAACAGGCAGACTAATACCTTGCTCCCTTCTCCTATCCCCCGGGACCAGGATTTCTACAGTCACAGCAACTGGGTGGAACTGGGTGAGCAGCGGCCACACCCTCACCTCCTCTGGCCAAGGCAGGAGCTCCAGAACCTGGCACAAGGTACGACCATGGCCCCAGTGGTAAGGTGGGAGCCCATGGGGCCAACCCCTCAGTCCACCCAGCCACTGTGTCACATTCTGAGGTCACATAGGATGTATCGTCCCCTCATCCCTGCAAGGACCGTGAGGTGCCCCAGCCCAACCAAAGGTTGGGTCAGTTGAATGGCTTCCCCAAGGTCACACAGGGAGAACAGCCAGGACCAGGTCTCAGACCTCAGTCTAGCCTTGCATGACTTCTTCCCTGCACTGGCTCACATAAGGTCTTCCTTCATAGTGCCCCCATCCTCCCAAATGAATTAGGACCCGGAAGCTGCCTCCTGTCCATTACTGGTTCACTTCCTGTCCACAGTTCACAGAGACCTGATACTCACAGGATTGGTCCCCACATTTCCTGGGTTTTCTTTTTTTTTTTTTTTTTGAGTTGGAGTCTCACTGTTGTCCAGACTGGAGCGCAGTGGCCACTCCCGGCCACCGCAGCCTCGACCTGCTGGGCTCCGGCAATCCTTCCACTTCGCCTTCCAAGTAGCTGGAACTACAGGCGCGTGCTACCATGCCCGGCTAATTTTTTGATTTATTGTAGAGATGAGGTCTCACCAAGTTGCCCAGGCGGGTCACGAACCCACAGGCTCAGGCAATCCACTCACCTCAGCCTCCCAAAGGCACGAGATTACAGGCTGAGCCACTGAGCCCGGCTCCTGGATTTTCTAGCACAGTCCCGGTCTCAAATATTCGGTTTCACTTCCAGACAAAGGAACATGGACTTTAGTTCAGAAACCCTCACCAGGGATCCTGTGGGCTTTCACTTTGTTCCAACTGGGAGGAAAAGCAGAAGTTTGGTAGTCAGGGACAAAGGATGGAGGTGGCATAATCTTGGATTCTAGCCCCCTGCCCTCTCTTCCCAGTGGACGATCCTACCTGCTCTGATTGCGAGGAGTTGAGCTGCCCTGGGAATTGGCTGGGCTTTACACGCCTTACCTCCGGCTACTTTGGAACTCATCCCCCCAAGCCTCCAGGTACCAGACGGGAAAGCTCCCGAGAAGCAGGGGGAGAAAGTCTCTTCCTTTCATCCCTCACAGGATCTCAGTCCAGTAGGCCAGGGTCTCATTGCTATGGCATTGCTTCCTAGAAGGAGAAGATGCTGGGGATAGGGTGGGTGGAGCAAGCCAATGGAGGAGGCTGTGATCGGTGGGGTGGGAGCAGCTTATGCTCAGTTGATAGGATTTCTCTGTCGCTGTGGGCAGCTTTGGGGGACTGACAAGGGATTGGAGACCATGTGTGTGGTGACTGACCCCTCCAGATTTGCCCTCCACAAAGTGTCATCATTTCCTGCTGAACCTTTGCTGAGGGATGACAGGGGCAGGTCAGGCCCGAAAGGGCCTCATTTTTTAGGAAGTGGTAGGCTTTTGACCCCCATTCTCCAGATGCCTTTTCCTAACCCAGGGAAGTGTAGCCATGGGGGCCATTTCGACCAGAGCAGTTCCCAGCCACCCCGGGGAGGCATCAACAAGGATAGCACGTCCCCAGGCTTCTCCCCCCACCACATGCTGCACCTCCAGGCTGCAAAACTGGCCCTTTCAGCCTCCATCCAGGCCTTTGGCCTCCTGCGAAGCCGCCTGGGAGACAGGGGCTTCTCCAGGTGAGTGGCCTCCTTGGTTAGATGGGAAGAGGTGCTGGGACCATTCCCGCATGGGCAAAGCTCTGCTCTGGGCGATGGAGAGAGGGCAGTGGTGGGATCTTGGGGTGTCTGGCAGGAGACTTTCTGGGGCTGGGTTCCATGATGGGTTGGTACTCCCGGGAGAGCTGAGCAGCCAGGAATAGGGAGCGAACATGCAGACCCTTCTCTGTGGCTCTGGTTTGCTCCCTAGGCTGCTGGACATCACCCCTGCCTCCAGCCTGAGCTTTGTCCTGGACACCACGGGCAGCATGGGTGAGGAGATCAATGCTGCCAAAATCCAGGCACGCCACATTGTGGAGCAGAGACGGGGCAGCCCCATGGAACCCGTCCACTACGTCCTGGTGCCTTTCCATGACCCAGGTAGCTGTGTCCTGGCCAGGATAGTGGAGGGAATGGAAGTCCAGGCAAGAGATAAAGGCCTTGGTGGGAAACTAGGCTTCATGGTGGTGCTTCCTGTGGTCCTGAGTGAGCCTCTACTGGGTACCTGTGTGTATTCAGAAAACTAGCAACCATTCCGTTCATTGTTTCCAAAATGGCAGCACTTTCCATGAGTTTAATGCATGATCCATGCTTTGACCCATGGCTTCCATGCTAATAAGTCATTTCCAGTCCTCTCTGTTATCCATAGACAGAGTTTGGAATGAAGATGGGGGCTGGTGGGGCCAGGCCTCTGTGAAGCGTCTGAGCTAGTTACACTGTATTCCTTTCCCTGCTGCACTGGAAGTCAGATGATCAAGTGGGGACCTACCAGTCTTACTGTGTCTTTAGGCTGGTCATTTGACCTTTGTTTGTCTCAATCTCATCATCCATAAAATGGGTCAGTACCTGCCTTCTCCTGCCTAACTTTCAGCGTTGAAAGGATCAAATAAAATGCCTACTGGAGTGAGAATTCCCTAATGGTAGGGTTTGACTCTTACTTGTCTATATACAGTTTATGGTGGTTGACATTTAATAGGGACTTATTGCATGTTTGATGAAGGTATGATAATTAAGAATTTAGCACTTATGATGTATCAAGGCACTAAGATTTACACAATTAACTCATTTACTCTTCCCAACAAACCTCTGATGTAGGTGCTATTGCTTTCTCTGGTTTTTGTTTTGTTTTGTTTTTTGTTTTTTTTTTTTGAGTTGGAGTCTTACTCTGTCACCCAGGCTGGAGTGCAGTGGCACAATCATAGCCACCGCAGCCTTGACCTGCTGGGCTCAGGTGATCCTTCCACCTCAGCCTTCCAAGTAGCATGAACTACAGACTGATTTATTGTAGAGGCGAGGTCTCACCAAGTTGCCTAGGATGGTCCTGAACCTGCGGACTCAGGCAATCCTCTCGCCTCGGCCTCCCAAAGTGCTGGCATTATAGGCGTAAGCCACCATGCCCGGCCCTCAGTTGTTTTTATACAAGCGCATGTACCCAGTAAAGATCCATTCAGGACCACAGAAGTGTCACCATTTTATTAAAGGAGTAGGGGCCCACTTTCTCACCAGGGGCACCTAGCCCTGCCCTGACAAGCATAAGGAACCTTATAAATATCAAGGAATATATATGTGTGTGTGTGTATATATATATATATATATATACATATATATATATATTTTTTTTTTTTGAGTTGGTGGCTCAGGCTGGAGTGCAGTGGCACGCTCATGGCCACTGCAGCCTCAACCTGTTGGAGCTACAGGCATGCACCATTGTGCCTGGCTAATTTTTTGATTTAGTGTAGAGACAAGGTCTCACCATGTTGCCCAGGCTAGTCTCGAACGCATAGTCTCAGGCAATCCTCTCGCCTCAGCCTCCCAAAGTGCTGAAACTACAGGCACACACCACCATGCCCAGCTAATTTTTTAAAAATTGTTTTTGTAGAGATGAGGTTTCACTATGTTGCCCAGGCTGGTCTCAAACTCCAGGGCTCAAGTGATTCTCCCATTTCGGCCTCCCAAAAGGCTGGGATTACAGGCATGAGCCACCACACCTGGCCTCAGAATATTGTTCTATCAATACTTGCGCACCCCAGGGGCACAGCGTGCACCTTAACTGGGGAGGTGGCCCTGAGTAGGAATGAGGGGAGCTCTTTCCTCCCTCATCTCAGCCTCCTTGTCCCTTCCCCAGGGTTCGGCCCTGTTTTTACAACCAGTGATCCCGACAGCTTCTGGCAACAACTCAATGAGATCCACGCGGTGGGGGGTGGAGATGAGCCTGAGATGTGCCTGTCAGCGCTGCAGGTCTGGCACCTCCTTTCCCCTTTCCTTCTCATCCTCCTTTCCAGGCCCCACCGCCAGGGGGCGCTAGATCCTTCCCGGGGCTCCCTACCCCCTGCTCCATCCCCATCACCTTCAGAACCTGGTTTCACCAGCTTCACTCCAGGGTTGCAGAGCCACACTCCCTTCTTCTCTGCCCTCCCTCGCTCTGCCCATTCCCCTGCTGCCGTCATTGTTAACACTGGCCCTTTTCCTCCCTGCCAGCTGGCCCTGTTGCACACGCCTCCCCTCTCAGACATCTTTGTCTTCACGGACGCCTCCCCCAAGGATGCCTTTCTCACCAACCAGGTGGAATCCCTGGCTCAGGAGCGGCGCTGCCGGGTGAGCATAGCTGGTGGGAGACCCAGTGTTAGCCACTCAGGGATGTGGGAGACCCTGTGAGGACAATCTCATAACAAGGGCCGCACTGTAGTGGGCCAACCAGCTTGGTGCGTGGTGGGAAAAGCAGACCATGAACGTATCATTTCCTGGTACCTTTAACAAGATTCACGAGTGGGAACCCTACCCTTTATGACACCGAATTCATACTTGAACCTGCCCAATAAACCATCTGAAGAACTGGGAATCTAGTTGCCAAAAATCCACTGTGAAATAGCATGGCGGTTACAAGAGTGTGCCCAAGTATTAACTGAAGGCCAGAGGGTTGTGTCGTTGGAGACCCCGCTGTAACCGCCAGAAGGTAGACAGAGAGACCTTACCACTCATCACCAGCTCTGAGAAAGCTTGAGCCCAGGGATTCTCATACACAATAGTAGATGGCACTTGGACACCCAAGCACTGGGCTCTCTTCTGGCCACAGGTAACATTCCTGGTGACTGAAGACCCATCGAGGGTTCAGGGCCGAGCTCGGCGTGAGGTCTTGTCCCCTCTGCGTTTTGAACCATACAAAGCAGTGGCGCTAGCCTCAGGAGGAGAGGTGATCTTCACCAAAGACCAGCACATTCGGGATGTGGCAGCCATTGTTGGGGATAGCATGGATGCCCTGGTAAGTGGGGCCAGAGGGGCCGGGGACCTCAACTCAGAGCTGAAGGGTGATGACACTGCATCTCTCTTTTCATAGGAGAAAAAAAGAGCATGACTCCCATTGCTGTGTTGCCATTCCAGTCACAGGGATGAGGAAAGGAAATTTCTCTCCCTCTGAGATCCATGACATTGCCCTTCAATATTAGTAACCTCCTCCCCACCTTGGCCTCCAGTATTCTGCCCTTGGGGCAACTGCAGGATGTCCTGCCATCTTTTTTTTTTGAGTTGGAGTCTCACTCTGTCACCCAGGCTGGAGTGCAGTGGCATGCTCATGGCCACTACAGCCTTGACCTGCTGGGCTCAGGTGATCCTTCTTCCTCAGTCTTCCAAGTCTGTCTGCCATCTTTTTTTTTTTTTTTTTTCTGAGTTGGAGTCTCACTCTGTCGCCCAGACTGGAGTGCAGTGGGATGCTCATAGCCACCGCAGCCTTGACTTGCTGGGCTCAGGCGATCCTTCCACCTCAGCCTTCCAAGTAGCTGGAACTACAGGCGCACGCTACCACGCCCAGCTCATTTTGATTTATTGTAGAGATGAGGTCTTGCCAAGTTGCCCAGGTGGGTCTCGAACCTGCGGGCTCAGGCAATCCACTCACCTCAGCCTCCCAAAGCACGGGATTACAGGATGAGCCGCCAAGCCCGGCTTATCTGCCATCTTTTAAGGGGAGACAAGAAGTGAGTGCCTCATCCTGAATCCCTTGCTTCCAACCTTGTCATTGGCCATAATAACTTCATCCCTGTCCTATGCTGCTCTCGCTGGTATCCCTTCTCCATGTGCGATTTGGTTTATTTCTGTCTCTGCTTTTCTCCTGTCTTAGTTCCCACCTTATGTTCTCCCTCATTTTTTGGTCCTGCCCATTCCCCAAGGTAACTCTTCCCCTGGACCCTCCAGTTGTGGTTCCGGGGAGGCCACTTGTGTTCAATGTGGATGGGCTGCTCCAGAAGGTTACAGTCCGGATCCACGGGGAGATTGGCAGCTTCTGGATCAAGAATCCTGCAGGTATTGCCGTGTGTCTCAGGGCAGAGGAAAGAATGTAGACTGGGAAATAGACAATAATGGAGAGGAATCATTTCACATGAATCTCTTTTCCTGTCCTCAGGGGTCTCCCAGGGCCAGGAAGAAGGCATGGGTCCTCTAGGTCACACTCGCCGCTTTGGGCAATTCTGGATGGTGACCATGAATGACCCCCCACAGACAGGAACCTGGGAGATCCAGGTCACAGCTGAGGGAAGCCCCCTGGTGAGAGTGCAAGGTAGGGGGGAGATCTTCCTGGGAAGGGACAGGGAGACTGCTGGTCTCAGAGAGCAATCGCCGTCACTTTGTCTCAGGAAGGCCTCTGACCGCCTTTGCCTTCTCCCAGCCCAGACCTCCCTGGATTTCCTCTTCCACTTTGGGATCCCCATGGAGGATGGACCTCATCCTGGCCTCTACCCTCTGACACAGCCAGTTGCAGGTACATCTATTCCCTGACCCCCTACATTTCATTAGTTAGATAGATATATGTATAAATGTGTATGTGGATACATGCATATGTATGTATAACTTTTAAATTGAATTATATGGGCCGGGTATGGTGACTCAAGCCTGTAATCCCAGCACTTTGGGAGGCCAAGGTGAGAGGATTACCTGAGCTCAGGGGTTTGAGACCATCTTGGGCAACTTGGTGAGACTTCGTCTCTACAATAAATAAATAAAAATTAGCCAGGCGTGGTAGCCTGTGCCTGTAGTTCCAGCTACTTGGAAGGCTGAGGTGGAAGGATCCCCTATATTCAGCAGATGGAGGCTGCGGTGGCCGTGAGTGTGCCACTGCACTCCAGCCTGGGCGACAGAGTGAGACTCCAACTCAAAAAATAAAATAAAATAAATTGGGTTGTATGAGGGAGGAACACCAAAAAACTCGGAATTGTCCTTTGAGAGGTGGGCCCCTTGTCATGCAGGCTTCCCCACTAGGTGTGTTCTAGGAACCCATCAGCATCAGTGTGCCAGCTAGCGTCGTTGTGAGAGGTGCATTTGGCTTCAGTTAATTTTCTCTGGAGAATCTTTCAACTTGTTTGCCCATTTCATGATGGGTGATTAATGAGTGCACCTGCCAACCCTGTGCTGCGTGTTCAGCAGTTTTTAATCCAAGGTGGCATGACCCATGTGTCCCATCCTCCCTATTCACCTGATATTAGCCCAAGTGATTTTTATTTTTTTGCTTCCCCGATGAAAAAAAGTCCTCAAAGGGAAACATTTTGCCAATGTGGAACAGGTGAAATGAAAAACAGCAGAAGCACTAAAAGGCATCAAAATTGATGAGTTCAAAACTCTTTTGAGCAGGGGGAAAGTGTCTCAATAGGTATATTACTTCAAACGGAGAGTACTTTGAAAGTGACTGGAGTTTAAACATGTAAGAATAAATACACAATTTTTAATAAATAAATTCTGTTGAGCCCAGGGTTCGAAACCAGCCCGGGCAACTTGGTGAGACCTCGTTTTTACAATAAATCAGAAAACTAGCTGGGTGTGGTGGCATGGGCCTGTAGTTCCAGCTACTTGGAAGGCGGAAGCGGAAGGATCGCCTGAGCCCAGCAGGTTGAGGCTGCGGTAGCTGTGAGCATGCCACTATACTCCAGTCTGGGTGACACAGTGAGACTCTGACTCAAGAAAAATTAAAATTAAAATAAATTATGTTTTTGGGGGTCCTCCCTCATAGTAAAGTGCATTAAACTTAAGTGTACAGCTTGATGAATTTCATAATACACACACGTAACCATCACCCAGTTCAAGATATAGAGCATGTCCAACACCTCAGAACTCCCTCCAGGTGCTCCCCATCAGTACCCCTCAGAGGTAACTCCTTTTCCCCCTCTATTCTCCCCAGAGCTAACCCCTATTCCCAAAGCCATTCTTTTCTCCCTGCGTCTCTGAATCTCACGCAGACAGTTGTTCTCGCATTCCAGGTCTTCAGACCCAACTGCTGGTGGAAGTGACAGGGCTGAGTTCCAGAGGCAACCCTGGGAATCTTCGGCCGCATTTCTCCCACGCCGTCCTGCGAGGAGTCCCGGAGGGCGCCGAACTGGGCCGAGTGCCCTTGGAGCCCGTAGGATCCCCGGAGCGGGGTCTCCTCGCGGCCTCGCTGCCGCCCACGCTGCTGTCCACCCCCGGACCCGTCTCTCTGGAGCTGACTGGCGAGGATGGAGGGGGCCGGAGTCTGCGCAGGGCTGCCCCTCAGCCTAGCACTGTGGTCCCCGTCCTTTTGGAGGTGAGACGCAAGGGGACGGTGTGCCCGGGGCTGGAGAGAGCTGGGGCGGCCCTTTCCCTGACGGCCTCTTCTCTGCAGCTCAGTGGCCCCCCGGGTTTCTTGGCCCCGGGCAGCAAGGTCCCTCTCAGCCTCCGCATCGCCAGCTTCTCGAGCCCTCAGGATGTTGACCTTAGGACGTCCGTCAACCCCAGCTTCGTCCTCACTTCCAACCTCTCCAGGTCAGGCCTCGGAACCCTCCAGCTCCCTCTGGCCGCACCTTTCGGTTCCCGGGATTGAGAATGCGGTCCATGCTCCGGCCCGAGCCTGGCCCCTGGCCCCCGGCCCCCGGCCCCTGGCCCCCGGCCCCTTCCAATTGGTTCTCCGAATCCTCGCTCCCCTCCTCTGCCCTTAGCTCCGCCCCCTAGCTCTAGGCTACCGGCAGCCTGGGGCTTCAGCCCGACATCTGTATCCACTTTTCAGGGCTCGCCTGGGACTCAATGAATCCGCCTGGGGCCGCCTGTGGCTAGAGGTCCCAGACTCAGCGTCCCCGGACTCCGTGGTGATGGTGACTGTGACTGTGGTGGGGCGAAAAGCCCGCCCGGTGTCCCCAACGCATGCTTTCCTCCGGCTCCTGGTGCTGGCCCCGTCTCCCCAGGTGAGGCGCTCCCACTTTCCATCGCCGGGTAGGCGGGGCAGGGGGAGGGAGGTGTAGGCTTCTTTTGGGTACAGCTCTAGCACACCTTAACATTCTCTCCCCTTTCCCCCAGGACCAGGTCGCTGCCCCTACCCCCTCGTCGGGCCCTGTCTTCACCACAGCCACCTCGGTCTTTTGCCCTTTCACTTTGGTGACTCAAGGCAGAGCTGGGGGAGGGACGGCAGGCAGCTTCTGGTGGGGCACAGTTGGGGGGGTGCTGCTCCTGCTCGGCCTGGCCTCCTGGTGACACCACAGCCTCTAGAGGGATGGGTATCCAGCGCTATTTTCAATCGGCTCCATTGGTAAGAAGGTCACATAGACTGGGCACCGTGGCCCGCGCCTGTAATCCCAGCACCTTGGGAGGCCAAGGCGAGAGGATTGCCTGAGTTCAGGAGTTCAAGACCAGCCTGGGCAATACAGCAAAACCTCACCTCTACGATAAATTAAACAAGCAAACAAGCAAAAACGGGCATGGTGGCACTCACCTGTAGGCCCAGCTACAGGAAGACGGAGGTGGAAGAATTGCCTGAGCCCAGCAGGTTGAGGCTGCAGTAGCTGTGACCATGCCACTGCACTCCAGTCTGGGTGACAGTGAGACTCCAAGTCAGGAAAAAAAAAAGGTCACATAAGCCTTGGGATCGTCTCTCTCCTACTGGGAATGGAGGTTTTCCTTCTCATGCATTCACTCTTCTCTTTCTTAAAAATTGAGAGATTAAGATAGAGGGCAATGAATTTTCCCACAATGTGCTTTCTCTAACCTTTGTGGGAAACAAACCAAAGGCATTTTTTGAGAAAGTTCCTTTTTATTTCTCTGTGACATCTTTATTCCAATAGGCTCAGGTAGACAGGAAGATATTTGAGGAGGAGATTGGGAGTGGAGTGGGAGGGTACCAGGAAGTGTTATTTACAGAATTGTTTTTATTTATTCTGGAGCAGCCTCTGTTTTATTTTTGTATTAAAAGCTGAAGGACAATTTCAATAAATATGTCTTCTCCCCAGAGGGATTTCAAAGAAAGATCATTTTTGCACATCATGTAGGGGAGACTGAGGGCATGAGACACCAAGAAGACGAAAAGGAAGTTTTCAGGCACAGAAGAGAAATTTTACACCAAGATGTCTGAACTTCATTGACTCACTACCTAGTCATTTAGTTGCTGAGTTAAGCAGAATAGGCCAGGCGCAGTGGCTCATGCCTATAATCCCAGCACTTCTGGAGGCTGAGGTGAGAGGATTGCCTGAGCCCACGGGTTCGAGACCAGCCTGGGCAACTTGGCAAAACCTCATCTCTACAATAAAAATAAAATTAAAAAAAATTAGCCTGGCATGGTGGCACATGCCTGTAGTTCCAGCTACTTGGAAGGATGAGGCAGAAGGATCGCCTGAGCCCAGCGGGTCGAGGTTGTGGTGGCTGAGAGCGTGTTACTGCCCTCCAGCCTGGGTGACAGAGTGAAACTCCAAAAAAAAAAAAAAAAAGAAGCAGAATAAGGAGACTGGGGCTTCTGACTCAGTCTCCTCCACCAGACAGAGGGGAGTGAGAGGAGGGTTTAGACACGGGTAGGGCCCCTTTGCCCCTTGGTGCAACTGGGCTGGGCCATCTCACCCTTTGGCTGGGTGACTCCTGTCTGCTGCCTTGGCAACTCCTGGAAAAGAGGAGAGAAACAGACTGGGCATCTGGGCTCCTCCCTACCATGTGGGGTGGGGCTTCTTTCCTCCCCCTCACCCCTATAGTTTACCTGTTGCTGCCACAAATTCTGCTTCCTTGACCTTTCCTTCCGGTCCTGAGTGGTGTGGGAACTAGCCTTATTGAATGGACTTGGGGAGAACTGGGGAAAAATTCACTGTTTTCTGATAAACCAGTGCTGACCCCAACAACTCCCCTTTCTAGTCCCACTTCCCACAAGTCTAAACTGAAAACAATAAACTCACCTTCTCCTGAATCAGATTCTGCAAACAGATGTTCACCTTTTGGATCTGGGCTAACTGGGGGCCACAAGTCTCTGAGTGCAAATCTGTTAGAAAATTCTAAAGGAAGAGTTGGAGGCTGACAACGTGGGGAAAACCTGAGGTCCATGTGCCACTCTTTTCCTGTCACCACAGGCCGTCCCTCTCTATCCGAATCCCCTCATCTCAATACCCTTCCAAGCAGGTAGAAAAATCCAGTTCTTTCCACCTCCATCTCTTTAACACATCACTCCCTCTTTTCCCTCAAATAGCACAACACCCCCATTCTCTATTCTTTATGGATCCTCCCTGTCCATCCCTGCCCCATTGGAATAACCCAGGCCACGCCCCCATCTCCATGGAGTGATCCAAATCCCTCTGAATGGAATGCAGACCAGCCTCTTCCAGCCCCAACAATGAACACCATCCTAACGCTTGGTGGCATCCTGTCATTATGATGCGCCTCCAATTCATGATCCCTGCCCATTAACTCTTCCCTATCCAGTCTGGTCTCAGGCTTTGTCCACACATTCCCTGGTCCTCTCTCCCCGAATCCCTAGTTCACACAGCAGCCCCATACCTCACCAAGGGCCCCCAGGTGCAGCTGCTGTTGCTGCGCCTCCCTCAGACGGTCTTCAAACCAGGCCTGGCCATGCTCTAGCAGCTCCAGTCCCTGCCACAGGGCATCCTGTTGTCTCTCCAGAGCCTGCATTCTCTGCAGCTGGAAAAGGCAAGAAGCAGAGGCTGTCTCTTGTGCCACAGCAGGGCTCTGGCCCATGGCCCATTCTCTCCACCCCTGGTTGGGTTCATTGTCTGGTCACTGAGTATGAGTCCAAACTGCACTGAGGACCTGGAGGGCAAGGGGAAGCAAGTGGGAACACTCATGGGCCCTCAAGTTGAGTGGAAAGATAAAGTGCAGATCCAGGGAGAGAATCTTCCCCTGGGATCCCTTGTTGGGCTAATACTTACCCAGAGAAAGAAGCTCTGGGCCCCTGGGTCTTGGCGGCTTGTCCCCAGTGGCAGCAGCAGAACTGTGTAGGGAGCCTGCACCAGGGGCAGCCCACCAGGACCCCGGCTCCCCATGGCTCTGAGGTAGGCAGGGTGGAGCCACTCCCACTGGTATAGCCTGGGCTGGCCCCTCCCCCTCCACCCCTGCCTTGCACCCATCCTGCCTCGGCTTTCGTCCTCTGGGCCTCTTGCTGCTGTATCTGTTGGAGGCTGGGGTGTTCCTGCTGGAGGGGAGAGGCCATCTCTCTTGGGGCCCCTCTGTCTTCTCTCTAATCTGTTTTTGTAAAGCCTCTCTGAAATGGTTTGTTCTCATGAATTCCCCTTAGTAGAATCCAAGGGTCTCCCTACCGCAGTGATACTATTTTCGATGAGGCAGGGCAGGTTCCTCTGTGGACTCCTGCTTGGTATTTCAGCTCTTCCCTATTCTCTTGTTTTGGTCGGCCTAAGGAAGCAATACCTTTTTTCAAAATAAACTTTATTTCCAGTATGAAACAGAATTTCTGGGGAAACTGAGAACTTTGGATCTGAAGGAGATAAGGAAACAGAGGGAATGGCAGCCCACCAGGGTCTTGGGAAGTTGGGGAGGGTAGAGGAAGGACTCTTCAGAGGACGGTGGTGGCAGCAGGCAGTACTTCCTGACTCATGAAAATGTTCAAGTCCAGGTGAGGATCTTCCAAGTCCAGTTTCAGAAACTTATCCACTAATGCCTGGCAACTAAAGGGCAGAGAAAACAGAGATTTTGGGGAGAATAAATAACAAGTCCCTGAGCAGAGGGGAGAGGCTGTGGCACAGAAAACTCAGGACCTTGAAGATCTAGGGATTTCAGGAAGAAATAGTGGGTCTTTGAAGGGCAAAGTTCTGGAGGAAGGCTGGCTGAGTCCCTGTGAAGAGGGAAAGAGCCGCAGGAACAGAGGCTGGAGAGAAAGGACACTGGGGCCACACACTCACTTTTCCATTTGGTTTTCCTTCAGCAACTCCTTGACAGGCCTGATAGGTTTTCCACTGCGGATCAAGTCTGAGACCTGGAACAGCAAGAAAGAAGGTGGAAGAGTAGGGGGAGTTAGAGAAGAGAAGAGGAAACAAAGGTCAGAAATACTTTGGACCCAGAAACCCAGGTCCCCAAGAGGAGTAAGGACAATGGAAGGGAGCCTTGAGGTGGAGGTAGTTGCACATTCAGATACCATCACCTCCTTGCCACGAGCAATGAGTGTGTCAGGAAGCCCAGCCTGAGCAGCTGTGTGGGAGGCATGGCTGGCCTTGGCAACACCTTCGCAAACCTGATAGAAGAAGACAAGATCGTTCCCATCCTCACAGGTCTCCATAGTCTTAAAAGAGAATAAAAGAGTCATCAATCACCTGCTTCCTGACCTGAAACCTTTGGCCAAGCCCTGTGAGAAGTGAGAAAAAGGAAGGGATGTGGTCTCTGTGCTCAGGGAGTCCCTGCTCTGATAGAAGAGCTAAGCCCCACCTCTTGGAAATGCTCAGCCTAGGGGACCCAAGGGGCTAGATTGGTTTCCTCACCAAATAGTGCACCAGGGGTCCTTGTGGCAGCAGCTGCAGCTGAACAAGACTCAGAAAGTTGGTGGCCACAAAGATGTGGGGGCACATTGGTCCAAGCTCCAGCCAATATCGGAGCACAGCCGCCAGAAGTGCAAGTCCATCTGCCTGTACAGGGGGCAGGGGTGAGGGTGTAGAGCCATGTGGGCCCCACGTGCCCCTCTGTACCTGTCCTGGCTTTTCCGTCTCATGTTCGCTGTTTCTTTTCTGCCCATACATCCCTCTTCTTTTCAAGAGGCCCAGCCTCACCCTCATGCTCCTTCATCCTTCTCCATTTTCCCCTCCTTAGTTTCTTTTTTTTTTTTGAGTTGGAGTTTCACTCTGTCACCCAGACTGGAGTGCAGTGGCCACTCCCGGGCACTGCAGCCTCGACCTGCTGGGCTCTGGCGATCCTTCCGCCTCAGCCTTCCGAGTAGCTGGAACTACAGGCGCGCGCTACCACACCCAGCTAATTTTTGACTTATTGTAGAGATGAGGTCTCACCAAGTTGCCCAGGCGGGTCTCGAACCCTTGGGCTCAGGCAATCCACTCACCTCAGCCTCCCAAAGCGCTGGGATTACAGGCTGAGCCACCAAGCCCGGCTCCCCTCCTTAGTTTCTAATCAGTTTCTCCCCTCACCGTGTTGGTTCCCTTTCCGAATTCATCAATGAGGACCAGAGACTGTGCAGTGGCATTGTTCACTGCTTTTGCCACCTGCTGGGCATGATGTGGACAAGAAAAAGTTCTGTTAGATTCAAGGCCTGTATTGCACTGATCACAGTCAGCCTGTGAATAAAGCTGTATATGTACCCATTCTACTGCACTGTACGTTCTTTAATGGTGAGGTATATGTTTTGTTCATTCTCTCACTGAAAATAGTGCCTTGCATGAAGCAAGGGTTCAAGAAATGTTTGTGGTATTGATTCTTCCAATCTCTGACCTGGGTACTCCCCATTCCGAGGATAGAGGGCATACAGCAAAGGTAATGCTTTCCTGTCCTGAACATTTTTCAGGGTTCCTTTCCCATATCCTCTTTCTCAATCCCACCTCCCTTTGCTCCCTTTGACCTGGTTGAGGTCAATCATGAAGGTGGAGAGGCCAAGGGAGATGGATTCGCAGCTATGAATTCGGGTGAAGATGGCATCTACTGCTCCAATTTCGGCTTCTTCTGCTGGCACAAAGCTGCCTACCAGGGCCATGAATGTGATCAAGCCTACCTGAATAGAGAAGGAGACAGAGCCTGAAGCCTGGTGCTATGTGGGCTGAGATAAAAAGTGATGCTCAACTGAGGGCATGAATGACAGATCAAAGATGAACATAGTGAAACAGGAGAAAAAAGATAATGGAACACATTGTCCCTCTCCTTTCCCAATCCTGATCATAGCCCCTTGGGCTCATTTAGTATTAGTAAAGAGGCATAGGGGAGTGGGCAGAGGCTACTTGGGAATGGCATGTAACTATTCAGAGGTGGGTGGAGGAATTTGGGCCACGGAAAGGTCCATTAGATCACAGCTTTCCCTTAGTGGAGATGAGAACATATGAGGTGGAAGAACAGGGGTCTGGGTGATCGTCTTTTCATGAAAGGTGGGGTCAGAACACAGGGGAGAAGAGCTATAGGTGCCTGAGTTGACAGGCAGGTGGAGGTGGAGAAGATAGAGAACATGCTAGAGGCCTGGGTTATAGGGTTTCTCACCTGTTTGAGGTATATACTCTTGCCTGAGGAGTTGGGTCCGGTGATGACTTTGACCCTCCCTTTGTCCCCACTGCATTCTGCAGAGTTGGGCACGAAAGTTCGAGCACAGAGTTCCATCAGAGGATGTCTGCAGTGAGTGAAGAAGCACCTCACATGGCTTGTGGATCTAGATGAATGAACCCCCAGAAGATGGGGCCTTTAGGTCCCTTTTGTCTATGCCTCCACCTCTCTACACTCTCACCTGCCATTCTGGATTCGTACCCCAAGAAGCTGGGAGGAGTAACGAGGCCTCGAGTAGCCATAGTCCCGGGCAGCACTAGCAAGAGCCAGCAGGACATCCAGACGGGAGGCAAGGTCCAATACTCGGGTCAAGACAGCTGCCCGCGCCAGCACCTGGCACTGCAGCTGGAACATCAGCAGAGTCTCCTGGTCTGGAGGTGGGTGAAGGAAGGAGCTGGAGGTCAGCTCCAGGGAAAAGTGAAGGAGAGACAGAGGCCCAGAGAGGGACCTGGAAACAATAGTGCAGACACAATCAGAACCCCCCCCCAGAGACATTCAGAGGAAAAGATGTAGACAGTCAGATTGTGAGAGAGCTAGCAGGAAGAGAAGGGGCCTGTTGGAAGCATAACCAAGCTGCTTACTTCCCTCCAGCTTCTGTCTTCTTCTTACCCCGGATCTCGCAATGCAGGTCTCCCAGTAATGCATCCAGTTCCTTGGTTTGAGCACTACGATAGTGCAACTTCTCCTCCGAGAGAAACTGGGTACAAGGGTTCAAAGTCATTGGCTTTGCATCTCTTGTTCTTCTTCTCCTCTCCCATCTTTCTAATCCCACCTTGAACTCCCCACCCTGACTTTTTTCTCCTTTGTTTCAGAGCTGGTAAAGCTCAGAGTAAAACTATAGAGGAGAGATCCCATATTGGGCAGTGTTGATGGGGTAAGACTCTCTCTCAGCTGCTGATTCATTTTCCTTAACACCCGCTACAGAGGTTTAAGGTCTTACCATGAAGTCCAGTCCTTCAATCTCAAAGTCACTGGCCTCTACCATGAAAGGTAGGCGGGGAATAGAAAGAAGGAAGCCGATCTGGGGAGAGGAAAGAGGAAATGTTCTACTCTCCTACTAAGAGACCTACTGGGTACCTTCTCTCCCTAGAGGAAGCCCAGTGATCCCTGTTCCCCACAAAAAAGTTTTTCATGTTCTTCATGTCCTGTATCCCCAACACATTTTCTTATCTACCATATCCTTCATCAGCCTAGTATTGTCCCTAAAATACCCATGGAGGCTACACCCACCCTCCTGTCCTTACCAGAGGGATGTAGATGACACTGCATGAAGGAATACGAGAGTCTAGATTCTCCAGTTCCTTCCGGGCAACCTCAGTGAGGAAATTGGGAAGTCCCATCAGCCTTCGCTTTTCTAGGAGGGTGGAAGGCACACAGCTATCAAAAGTGAGGTTTCAGCTGGGCTTGGTGGCTCAGCCTGTGATCTCGTGCCTTGGGAGGCTGAGGTGAGTAGACTGCCTGAATCCGCGGGTTCAAGACCCACCTGGGCAACTTGGTGAGACCTCATCTCTACAATAAATCAAAAAATTAGCCGGGCATGATAGCGCACGCCTGTAATTCCAGCTACTTGGAAGGCTAAGGCAGAAAGATCGCTGGAGCCCCAGCAGGTGGAGGCTGCAGTGGCTGGGAGCGGCCACTGCACTCCAGTTTGGGCGACAGAGTGAGACTCCAACTCAAAAAAAAAAAAAAAGTGAGGTTTCAGGCTGGGCACAGTGGCTCACGCCTATAATCTTAGCATTTTGGGAGGCCAAGGTGAGAGGATTGCCTGAGTCCATGGGTTCGAAATCAGCCTGGGCAACTTGGTGAGACCTCATCTCTACAATAAATCAAAAAATTAGCCAGGTATGGTAGTGCATGCCTGTAGTTCCAGCTACTTGGAAGGCTGAGGAGGAAGGATCATTTGAGCTCAGTAGGTCAAGGCTGCAGTGGCTGTGAGCATGCTACTACACCCCAGCCTGAGCAACAAAGTGAGACTGCAACCCCAAAAAAGTGAGGTTTCTGCCCTGGTTGCTGTGATGAGTCCCAGCTGTGGTGACCGCCTGCCAAGGATGGTATTCCATCACTGCACAGGCTTGTGTTCCAGGGCTCACAGGTCCATCCACACACCCAACACTCACTCTCATCAATTTCAGGATCTATGTTGGGAAGAACTGTGAAGCGATTTTCAGCAAGACTGCCCTCAAAGTCCACCTAAGGAGATAAAAAATCCAGTTTCTAAGCACCCAGCACCCTCTCTCTGTCTTGTTCCCCAGCTCTCCTTGGGCCCCAGTTCTCCCTGGGTCCTGCTTTAACCCTCACCTTCTGGGCACTTCCCTAAAGTTCTGCCACTTCTTCTCACCATTCCATTTTTTTAGCCATCCAACTGACCTTAACATCTTCCAAGCTTTGTCATCTTCCACACCAAATCCCCCAGATCCTAGTCCCTCTCCACTCTCCAGTCCCATCCTTCTCCATGACCTCTCTAGATGCACTGCCTCTTTCCTTTCACTCACCACTTTCCCAATGAGGCTGGCAATGTGGTGCAGGTCATCAGAGAACTCTTGGGCAATGTCTCGAAAGAGCTGGATGGACTGGGGCAGGGAGCGACAGGCATCTCTCAGGCCCAGGGCACTGTACACAGTCTGTGGGAGAAACACACCAAGGAGGGTGGCCCACATCCAGTCCAGGTTAAGGTGAGGGAATAAAGGACAGACTCAGAAGAACAAAGACCAACAGAAAAAATAACAACAGAGAGAAGATATCAAAGGCAAAAAGAAACAGAAAAAGGCATCTATAAAACTCTGTGGCAGGAACTATACTAAACACTGAAGCTACAAAGACAGCTGAGATGTGGTCCCTGTCCCAAACAAGCTCACAGTCTTATAAGGAAGACAGAAAAACATACAGAAAATTTAAAAATATGATGGTAGGTACTTTGGTAGAGGTTTGTGGAGTTTGTACAGAGGTGGAAGAAAGAGAAATATGTCTATGATGAAAGATAGGAAATAAGCAAATGAGAAGAAGGGATAATGATGACATTGGGGTAAGAAGGAGCAGGGAGAGAGAAAGGTTTGGAGACACTGAGAGTTAAATCCCCAGGGTGAGGGTCAGTGACCTGAAGCAGCTGATCTAACCAGGGATTAGACTGAGTGGACAGACCCAATCCCTCAGACATTTGCGGAGCTTTACTTTGAGGTAGAGTATATATAAATAATATCAATTAAAGTGTTTAACATCTAGCCATGATGGAAACAAACAGCAAAAACAATGGCTAATCAGAAAACAGATTGACGAAGTTATAAAACTGACTAAAATTAATAAGGAGTTTCAGCGAATAAGACTAATATGGGCTAAGATAGCTTGAGATGTCTTTACAGAGAAAAGGAAATTAGCCGGATTTTGAATAAGGTTATTCAAAAGGAAGGCAGACAGGCATTGTGTGTGAGGGCAAGAGCACGGGCAAATGAGTAGAGACAGGAATAAGAGCAAATATTTGCTGACTGCTTACTACATGTCCGGCAATGTTCTAACCTTTAACATATGCTAATTTCATTCACTCTTCAAGATACTCCTGTGAGGTAGGTACTAGCATTATCTCCACCTTATAGAAAGCAACCTTAAGCACAGAGAGATGATGTAATTTCCTCAGGTTCTCATAGCGAGTAAGTGGAAGAGCTGGGATTTGAACTCAGGTATCTGACTTTTTTTTTTTTGAGTTGGAGTCTCACTCTGTTGCCCAGACTGGAGTGCAGTGGCC